TATCACGCGACTTGAATATCAATGAATATAAATTATGATCTACGTGTTTATTAGTAAAGTATGCAATACTCTATATAAGTAGGTATTAATTAGAGTTACACCGATAGTATTTCTTCTAAAGTCTATATTTTAGTCAAAAACAAATTATTCATGAAATTGAGTCTGCGCCACTTAATTCTTAACACTATGTTATATTTATATGTGTGTCTAAGTATTTCTGGCATCTGAAGGTTAAAAACTTTTTTACTTTTTCAATTTAGCTTGAAAAGGATACTCCATAAATATACTCTTAACTTGCATTATACACTTTTGTAGGGAAATATACACTTTAGCATTCGTTGTAGCTTTGAATTCTATCATATCGTGATAAAATGTGTTTTTAATAAGTTTTTATAGATGTTTTTTCCTCTGTTCATATAGTTATATAATATACATTAAATAAAACTTGATGGGTTCAAAAACATTTTATAAATATTACTTCATCTTACAACAATGACAAAATTAAAACATTTTTAACACTGCCCTTTTAGAATATTAAAAATTCTATTTTCACAATGCATTCAATTTTCATTTAAATTTCATTCTAAGCTATATACAACGTCCATACAATGTACAAGCATAATATTTTATTTCTAATTATGAACGCTAACGTGTGGAATATTGTTCGTAATTATAATTTATATTCGTTCACTAAATGTAAATTTATAAAAATAAAATACTCAAACTGTTGTGTTGGATTGATGATTGTTCGTGAGAAACAATTTTTTTTCTAATAAAATTATTAAAAATAATTATTTCTTTTTTCTTTTCTGACTTAACTATAACCTCGACTAAAACATTGATATTAATATTTGTATAAAGGTATATTTTATAGAAGTATAGTTAAAATATTTCAAGGTTTATATCACTTTTGGAAATATAGCACATAATAAGAAATAATAATCGTAATATATTGTTGTCATCTACACAAAACCGAAACAATGCATTTAACTCAATATAGAAATATGATCAATCGTCGTATTTTGATTTGAAAAAAAAACAATGACCAGTCTGAAACTAGTTCGTATATATATATATATCTTGTAGTCTGTTTAAATTTTTTCTTCTATGTTCCATCTTGAATACGGAATGCATCCGACTCCTTCCTCAAAACACAATATCAGTTCTGCATACAGAATAACATTTATTGATTTAAAAGTGTAAAATATAAAACGTTCAATTTTTTTTATCTTGGTCTCGTTAGATTGTGTCTCGGGTTTGTTAGAACGTATTGGAGTATTAATAATGTTGAACTATATTTCCTTTTCAACGTCAAAATGCGTTTGCCATTTCCGTTTCTTTTTCTCGGTCAAAGTGTTATTTTTATTTCATTGTCATCGATTAAATTAAATTTTTTTTAGCCTTTATAAAAATATGGCTGTGTATAATTTTTTTTCTTTTCGTTGCTCTATGTAGCGAGTAACGACCAAGTCAATTGAAATACTGCGCCTACCGTCTGAACGTGACAAAAAGATAAGAAATAATTTTATATTGTGTTTTATGTATGGATACATTTATTATATAAAATAACTGTGGAATACGTTTTTATTATAATTTATAAGATACGATCAAGATGATAAACTTAAAAATGTTTTAAAAGTTTGGTCTGACGTGTCATTATGGAGTTATTGATTTTCTTTTAACCCTCGAGTTGTATCATTGTAATCGTGATAATTAATTCGTGAAGCACAATGGTATACAACTATTATACTAGAGTCTATCAAATTTAACATTGACTGACTGATGATTAATACGTTTTTGCTTTGTTGTAAAGTTGTGTATAGACGCTTTGGCCAAGTTCCGAATAGACAGATGTTAGAAGAGGGGGGTATTTAGGTAATAAATATAACATCAAAATGATTAATGTATACAGAATTACAGAATGAGAGTGTCTAGTGTTTACAACTAAATGTTATCAATTTATGTTCTGCTTTTAAACGTGTAAGAAATATATAATAAACGATATCGTGTAGCCACTTGACTCGTGTTGTATTAGCATCGTATAAGATATTTAAAAATAAAATCTCGCGTCGTATAGTTATAAATACAATACAGACATAATCTCATTTACGTAAAATTGTACTAATTAATAACTGTATATTTTTTTACATAGATGGTACAAAAAATAAAGATATACCTATTACCCATTATAATGGGTCCGGTCACATTGACAAATTTACTATTAGGTATAATACTATAATTATTCCTTGTTTAAATTACATTTTAATCGTTTGCATTCAATTTAATCTTCGTACTTAATTTGACTTGCCGACTAATGACTTTTAATTGTAATAGCACTTTACTGCTACGTGTATGGTACTATTACAGATTTATGTTATCGTTATGGTGTTATATTACTATCACTTAACTGTTACTGGCCGTAAATAAGTTGAGATACAAATTTTCACTACATTGTAATTCAACATACTCTAATTCATTACTTATTTATACTGTTCTCTGTAGGTTTACAGTTTTAATATATACATTTTATTGGAACATTTAATTGGCCAATAATATTAAAAGTGAATTATTGTGTGTGTTATGTACTATATCGTGTCATATAATGTTCCATCATGCACTATGCCACATAAATATTAATAAAAACTTTTAAAGTTGTATTTTCTATTATTTTGCTGTCGAAGAATCATACACGGATAGCATAAAGATATTAACTTTAATTTAACACTTTTTTCTATTCTATAAAATAAATTAATGGCATAAAATAATTATAAAAAAAAACTTCGTACAAAGAAATTACTAAATTAAGAAGATGAAAATAACAAATGAAAAAAAATTAACTAACATTAGGTACTTATACTCGTTTATACTATTTATATACTAATACAAATTAGCCGTAATAATTATTATTGACTTGAAAAGTTTCAAATATATAATTGTTCATTTGATTCCAAATAATTTGCCTAAATTTAAAATATATTATATAATTTAATATATTACCATAATTTAAGTAATTTTTTAAAGTTACATTTAAGTTAAAGTCACATTTTCGTGTACCTAAATTTGTAAAATGCACTATTGTATATATCTACATCTTTATGAAACATAGTTAATTATCCAATCAATAATGTAATACATATGTCAACTCCATTTGATACATATTTTCAAAGATACATCTATATTTTACATAAATAATAAGCTACTAACTATAATAGTACTATATCGTACCTACAATCGTTTAAATATTTATTTGGTTATTTATTATATATTGACAAACTTTAATATAATTTAAATTTTATGTAATGTGTATTTGTGTTATTAATATTTAAAGTCTCAACATAGTTCTTACATTCAATATCAATACAATTTATCAACTCAATACTACTTAATAATATAATATTAACATACTTTAGATTATAACTTATTAAAACTTTTATTATGAAAACACATACTTTCTAATTCTTACAAAATAATATTTTGATCGAATAAATAAATAAATAAATGAACGAATCAGACGGGGAATTATACTAGATAACTATAAAATCATTGTAACTAACAAGAAAAAGTTACGATTTTTTTGTTACATTCGAGTTGGAGTTTTAATAATTTTAATGTAACAATAATGAATTTGAAATCGTAATCTTATATAATTATTATATTTTACTACAAAACCTATCAATATCTACAATCTTGACACAGACATATTTATTAAAATACCTAGGTACACAAAAATAGGCAGTTAAAATTCTAAAAAATAAATAGGTTGGTATATATTTACAATTATTTTTTTAGTTTCTGTTAACCTTATATATTTAGTAAGTTTTTGCCATCTCACCATTTAAATTAAAACAGAAAAACTTTAGATATATAACATATTGTCATATAAGATAATTTTATTTTTTACACAAAACCTTATAAAAAAAACTCCATTAATATTATTCATTATCAACAATAAATTCATAACATTTATAACTAATCAKGGGAAGTATGAAATGCGTCATTGAATATTTATAAAAATACATATTATAATAGACGATTTAATATTTAAAATGTTGGGACCTAAATATATAATTAACGAAAGTTCGAGTAATAAACATTGCAACTTGGTGTTTCCAAAAATATTGTATTGTACCTATTATATAAACTTAAACGTATCAATTCACTAACGAAAATATGTTTGTATATTAAGTAAAGTAAACCCTTATTTTAATACAAAACAAAAAAAAAAAATGCGTCAACACGTGATAGATACAAATAATATACATGTTAATAGTTTAAATGCGATCCATATGTTTGGTATTCAGGACTACTTCAGTAGAAAAAAAATCAACAGCGAAAAAAAAATTCCTCCCGTTCGTATTATTAAATGTGATGATGATTCTTATTTCTTCCACTGAATTTCGTTTTTGCGATTATTGTTGTTCTTTGTTGTTTATATATGCATCTTTGAAAGATGGATGTTGCTCACGTGGACGACAGCTCCGAAAATGTCCCGCTACAGCAGTACATTTTGGATATGTGACATTACTGCTGTGACAGGACAATATCGGAGTGTTATCCATTAAATGTTGTCGTAAAAAGCATTTCTTCGATGGTTTTCTCTCTACATTCGTATGCTATTTGTAGTCTTCTAAACCCTGCGAAAAAYGCATAAGTGATATAATATTGTTATAAATCATTTTTAGCTGGTTTTTTTACTATAAATATTATTATTATTTACATATTAGAACAAAGTTTGTGTAGACTTACCATTTATGTTATTGTTGTTGTGACGTAGCTGTTGTTGGTAATAATTGTATGTCGCCGTAAAATTGCTGTTTATTATCCGCACTTCTTGCGATGATAATAAATATTACGATTGCAATTATTCACCTGTAGACATACAAAAAAAAAAAATCATTAATAATAATAATTATAGACGTAAAAAGAAAATAATATAAATCGCGCTTAACGCCCTAACGTCAATTTTTGTATAATAAACACATTTTTTTTTTTCTATACAGTTTGGGAGTGGATCAAATGGCTACGTTGGCCGAACACGCGGCTGACTTTAGCGGCATGCTGGCCGCTAGTGGTATGGGCATGCCGCAGCCGATGACCGCCACACCGGTGCCACTCGCTTTGCACCCGCACCACCAGACAGTACGCGGCCCGCTACCGGGCCTGGTGAAAATCGCTCAGCCTCAACCGACGGCGGTGTCGGCGGCCAACAAGTCGGGTTCGCCTCTACAAAACGGCAACCAATCGGCTCAAGACGTCGCGGCTGTGGTGGCCGCACAACAGCAGCAACAACAACAGCAACAACAACAGCAATTACAACAACAGGCCATCATCGGCGGTGGCAAACAGAATGGCGCCGTAGCAGTCGAACAAATGGTTTCGGCACCATCTCCCAGCGGTCGGTCAACGCCAAACAGCAGTACCGAGGGCACGTCGGCCAAACTCTTCGTCGGTGGACTCAGCTGGCAGACATCAGCCGACAAGCTCAAACAGTATTTCGGTATGTTTGGTGATGTGACCAACGTGCTTATTATGAAAGATCCCATCACGCAGGTAAGAATTTTAGCTTCGGATTATTTTTATGTCCAACGAATAAAATGTAACGTCTTTTTGGTTTTTTATTTTCCCAGAGGAGTCGTGGTTTTGGATTCATCACGTTTTCTGATGCAGAAACCGTGGAAAAGGTGTTAGCCGTGCCCATACACACGTTGGACGGCAAGAAGATCGACCCGAAACACGCTACACCCAAGAACCGCCCAAAGGCCGGCAGTAAGACCAAGAAAATATTCGTTGGCGGTGTCAGCCAAGACACCACCGCGGACGAGGTAAAAGCGTACTTCAGCCAATTTGGCAAGGTGGAGGAGACAGTGATGCTGATGGACCAGCACACCAAGCGTCATCGTGGCTTCGGGTTCGTCACGTTCGAGAATGATGACATAGTGGACACGATATGCGAGATCCACTTCCACACGATCAAGAATAAGAAGGTGGAATGCAAGAAGGCGCAACCCAAGGAACTGGTGCAGCCAGCGGCCGCGGCCGCCGCAGGCCTGTTATTGGGCAAGCGCCCCGTGTTGGTCGGTGGACCGCTAGGCGTCCGTGTGGCAGCTGCCCCGGTGTCGCAGGCTAGCCACCAGCTGGCAGCCGTGCAACAAGCTCAGGCACAGGCCCAAGCGCAGGCTCAAGCCGCCGCGGCCGCGGTGGCCGCGCACAACTACAACAAGTTGTTCGCTACGTACCCAGGACTAGCCAGCTACCGTTACGCCCCGTATCCAGTGCCGGTGACCGCAGCTGCGGCCCCGCAGCCAGCAGCCGCCGCCCCGCAACCGGTGCCCACAGCTGCCGCGGCCACGCAGGCCGCATATCCGGCCTACAGCCTGTCCGGCATCGACATGAGTGGCTTCCAAGGCATCGACTGGTCGTCCATGTATGGCATGGGCGGCATGTACGTTTAGGCCCGTTTTAACCCTTATTGCGCGCGTCCTGTGCTGTTTGTATGTTGTGTGTTGGTCAGGTCAATTTTTTTTCGCGTGAATGAGAAAACCGAACAAAAAAATAAAACGAAAAACATTCTCTTGTTGCTCAGATACATTCTATCATTGAAATTATTTTTTTAATATTTAACCAAAAAAATCCCAATAATACCCCATCTGAACCCTCCTCATATCCTCCCATGCCCAACCGCATTTCATTATCTTTTTTGTTTTTTTTTTATTCGAACTCGACGAGGCTGACAGCCAGATCTTCGGAGATCAATCCGCGCGTGTGCCATACCACTGCCTCATTGTCGTGAGTTATATTTTTCAAAGGATTAAAACTAACGATTTCTAGTCAGTTATCATTAATATTAATTTATTATTTTTTTTTTTTATGTATTATTATTACTATCAATAATAATTATTAATTTTTAATATTTCTCAACTTTCTCATAGTAGTGTGGTTAGTGTCTAAATAATGTGTATTTAATTAATTAGTTAATGTATTATTTTGCTCTTTAATAAAAAAATTCCAATGATCAGTAGAGAAAATACATTCCATTAAGGACCAAAGCTCACAAGCATACATCATGAAAATTTTTTTTAAATACCATTTCATAAATTATATTCTCTTTTCTCTATATATTTCATTCACTCTCACTCACTCTCTCTCTCTCTCTTTCTCTCTCTTTATGCATGTATACGTATATTTAAATTTTGTTTATATGTGTATACATGCATATACATGATAATTATAAATCTTTCGCTTCTTATATCAAACGCTTCTTTAAAATCAGATTTACTAACTCGCTATAGTACAGTAGTTTAACTTAGAAAGAAAACATAAAGTACGAACATGTATAACAAAAAAACAATAATTTTTATAATATGTATATATTTTTTTGTTTATTTTCTCACTACTTATTGTATACTTAAATCAGTAGAAAACAAGACATTGGAGTTGTTCAACAATTTAATTTTAGCTGTCCGCCTTAGTGATCAATCGTACATTGTTTTTTTTTTTTTAATTTTATTTTTATTGTCTAAAATCTCACGAGTTCAATATTTAGTTAGACATTTAAAAAATTATAACGTATAATATTATCTACTATGAATATAATAATTTAATTTTTCAGCGCGTTTTAGTTTTTAGTTTGTTAGAATTAAACAAGTAAAAGTTACGAAAAGCACTGATTCGACTGGACAATACTAATTAGAACATTATTATATGTATGTAAAGCAATAATACTTAAAAGGTTATTGATCTCTTTGTTTATTTATATATATTTTTTTTTTAAATCTTTTTTTAGTATAGTTTTAATCTAGTTGTAAGCCCTCTATTTTTGTAACATTTTGAGAGTTAATAAAAAGGAAGACAAAGCAATTATACGAAGAGGGTTAGCGATGCTTTTACATACTCCGGTTTTGTGTCGTATCCTAGACCTAGACTTTTTAGTACATTTAAACCTATTCTAGGTGTATATTTTTTAATGTCGAAGTCATCTAGACTTGGTGTGTATTTTAACAGTATTTTTAGTTTAGTACTTTTTTTTGTAGAGTAATATTATTAACTACTATTTATTATTAAAAAAATAAATATTTAGCTGTAAGAAGTATTTAAGTGTACACTTTTTGACAWTTTTTTTTAATTATTATTATTATCAATTTATTTAGTTTCTGTGTAGATGTTCTCTACTTTATATTCGTGTGTAGTCCTACGTATAGATGAAAAATCGTAAAAAATAATTATTAACAGTAGTATTAGATACCTCTATATACGTGGATCCTTCATTTCTTTTATTATTTACAATTATTATCATTATTATTATTATTATTATTATTATTATTTATTAACAATTTAGTTCTTTACGCACTTTAGTAGTTAAATGTTTAAAAATGCTGTGTTGTTTACATTATTAAACGGAAATAAATAAAAGTAGTATTTGTCAGTAGAAAATCCGACCGATCCGCTTTTGGTTATTTAATTTAAAAGTTTTAAATTTAATTTTTGAGTTGTTTTTTTTTTTAGATCATTATTATTTAATCCATTGTTATATGTATATATATATACATATTCGAGTAAAGGAAATAATCGTGTATGAAAAAAAGAAAACAATCTTATTATCATCCTAACACCACACTACCGTAATGTTGTTATAATACCAATATCTATATATATACTATTACCTATATACTAATACAGTTTTACTATACTATACATAAGTAATAAAATAATAATATATTGCATGAGTATGACCGCGCGAGTGATATGTAGGTGATATCGCCGCGTATGGTCCGTCCGCGTTCTACAGGAGTGAGACTCATCTCTCTCCCTGTCTCTCATCCCTCTCCTCATTCCGGTATCAATCAAGTATGTGTGTTTTACACCATATATTCAATTATTATAATTTATAGAAGTCGCCTTTACACTGACTATATAATGTTATTATTTAGACTGTAGAGTGATAAATTATTTATCATTATTAACCCTAACCGTTGTTGTTGCTGTTGTTATTATTGTTGTTGTTGTTGTTTGAAGTAGTTAAAAATATTACTAACCCATTAGAAGAATACAATATAATATATTCCTAACATGTATATTTATGCGTATAATACGTAAACGGCTGCTGAGTATGTATACTTGCGTCGTAATTAAAATAGTATAATTATTATACGTGCCGCTGAAATTAACCCTGACCATACATTATACGTACATACTGCCATACGTTATTAATACGTAGCCGTATTATTATTGTTGTTGTTGTTATTTTAATTACCGATAATACTACAATACGTATAATATTCTGTGCAATCGCATATTATTACACCGTATTATATCACGTAAAATGCTACTAGCAAATGAAAAAAAAAAAAAAAAAAAAAAATTTGGGAAAAAATTGGGTAAAAAATGAAAACGACATTTTGGTTTTGATAGAACGTGTGGAACGAAATATTTTAATTTTTTTTCATACATATTAATATCAATCATTTAATAATTTATACACTTTTTTTATACCTTTGGCTAATTTTGACAGTATACCGCTCGGTYATAAAGCCGCGACGTGACCGACAAAAAAAAAATATACATTCATAATACAATATATAATATCGAGTACGTTTTCGGCTGGTACGATAATAGAATTTTTTTTAAAATTTGTTTTTGTTTTTACTCACTATATATTTTAACTGTTGAGTTTGCGGTAACGGGTTGAGGTGTGGCGTAGAAAATTATGTACTGTTGTTTCGTCGCCTTGTATTTTATACGGCCCTATTGTCGCACGACTTGAAGCATTAGCAATAATATTATTATAATAACGATTTGTAATGTTTTATCATTACTAATCGTTGTTATTTGTACAATTATTACTATTATTCCGAGTGAAACACACGACTGGCGGTGTSCGAAGACGTGACATCGGCGGCCGTTTCACCTGTAGAACAGAAAATAATATTAACAACGTGTTTGCAGTATACATAAAATACTTATTATTATTATTAGCCGGCGCTTTGTGTAGACTCGTATGACAATAATAATATTTATATCAGCTCCGCATAACATTATATTAGAAGCGTATTATTGCGAATTTGGCAAAAACCCAAACGGAAAAAATTAGTGACTGATTGTTATATTAATGGTCAGTTTATGAGTGTGTGTGTGTGTGTACGATTTTGTGTTTAGTTCTACGACGACTACGACCAAGACAACTTCGACCGCGACACCAGCCGACCATCTTATAACCATATAGGTAAGTATGGTATATACATTTTTTTTTTATTACAGATGACAGGACCGGACGGCGTATCGCCGTAGTAACCTTTAAGGCGAGAGGTTATTAATATAACGCATTACGATCATCTTTGAAACCGATGAGAAACTTCACATTTGTCCAACAAATCTTTTGGCGAAGCGGTGCATCGCTTGTATATATATAAAAAAGTGAAAAGTGACGAGCACTATTAATCAAAAAAAAAAAAGATTAAAAAATTTTAGATTTTTTTTTTCATAGCCGGCCTGATATAATATTATACTATTTTATACTACTACTGTATGTAGATCTTAAAAAATTGTAGTTGATGCCGATTGCATGTGTTTCCACCGTTGTTGGAAGTAGTATCTAAGTAGACATGACATATTATTTATTATACWTATATAATACTAACACCAAATTAATAACTATTTATGTTCATATAGTCTAACAACGGGTCTTGTACTTTAACATTTATCATTATACTCGTATATTAGGTACATTTAGTTCTGCGCCAGTTTTATTTTCACATAATTYTCTGTGCGCTTTAGTATTATAAATTTTATTCAGTTTCACTCGTGTATATTGTAATATATTACGGGGAAAAATCAAAATTCACGTCCTTTCTCCTATATATTATCAGAGAAAAAAAATGATGGATGAAATGATGTTATATTATATTATTAAATTATTATTATTATTATTATTATATATTGCTCAAATAGTTTAGCGTGTAATTAATTAATATTTAGGTGTAACATTTTTTTTTTTATATATTATATATTCATACTAAAAAAATATATATATATTTATGTATAAACACTTAGTATTAAACGCCAAACTAGTGGCATAGCGTACAAAAACCCATTTAGTTAAACATATTAATTTATTATATTTACGTACCTAATATATATAATATATATAACATGTATATATTTATATATAATGTAATGGACGGAAGTAATATTTTAGACTTTTTTTTCTCGTTCATCGTGTATTTTTTTATAGTGATTTTAATAATTAGGCATATTTATAATACGTATAATATATATAATATATGCATATATATATATATATATATATATATATATTGTTCACGGGAATAATAT